GGGGGGGGGGTGTCAGTCGGCACAGGAATTCCCGGCGGCCCCCGGGGAAGGAGTTGGAATCCAGCCGGGGCCTGAGGGGAACCAGCCGGGCTGACGGGAACTGGCCGCAGAACCGTGGGCCCCCACCGCAGCCCAGCTCCCACCACGGGGGTCCGAGGGGCCTGGGAGGCTGCTCCCTATGGGGCTGCCCGGGGGGGCTGCTCTGTGTGGGGCTGGGGGTGCTGGGTACGGGGCTGGGCTCCAGGATCCAGGCTCAGACCATATAAGGCTGTGCCAGGGTCCCTGCAGCCTGTGGGGCCGGGCTGGGGTCCCGTGCCATGGGGCTGGGGTCCCCGCAGCCTGTGGGGCCGGGCTGGGGTCCCGTGCCATGGGGCTGGGGTCCCCGCAGCCTGTGGGGCCGGGCTGGGGTCCCCGCAGCCTGTGGGGCCGAGCTGGGGTCCCGCACCATGCTCCAGGGTTTGCACCCAGCTGGGAGCTGTGGGGGTCCATGGCTGGTCATGCTGCAGCCCCCCATGGGGCAGCCTGGGTTCTTGCACCCCCGACGTGGGTGCGGGTGCCCCTGCAGGGACACTGTCCCCCCACCCCTGCCATCCGCTCTGGCTCAGAGGGGCGGTTGACCCCCAGTTGCAGACTCCTGGTTGGGGGGGCACAATGGCTGTGGGGTGGCTGAGCCCCCCCCTCAGTGGGTGGCTGCCCCAGCTGCCCCTGCCCCACCAGTGCAGAGGGGTCTGGGGACGTTCAGGGCAGTGATGGGACAGGCCGTGGGGTGCCTGTCCCTGGAACAGGCAGCACGGGGCCCCACAGCACGGCATGATGGGGTGCCTGGCACCCCAAACCCTGCCTGGCCACCCCGAACCCCACAGGCAGAGCCCCCGTCCCCGCAGGGTTCCCCAGGGAGTTGTGGCCAGTCCTCTGGTTCCAGTGGCCCCTAACGGGGCTTGGCAAAGGGCTCTGGCACTACGGACTGCTGGGCAGAGCAGGGATGAAAGGGCTCGGGCATGGGGCAGGATCCGGCCCATTAACCGCACAGCACTGGGCCGTGTCGGCTGCTACCGGTGGGGCTGGCAGGGCGAGTGTGGGGGTGTGCCGGGGGGGACCTGGTGCATGCAGGGAGATGCCTGCTAGGGGCTGGGCAGGGGGATGCTGGGGGAGCACCGGGACGATGCGCAGTGCGTGCTGGGTGGGCACCCTGACCCCTTTCCCGCAGGAACTGGTGTGCCTACGTGGTGACGCGCAGCGTGAGTTGCGTGGTGGAGGACGGCGTCGAGAGCTTTGTGAAGGCGGATTACCAACCCTGCGGCTGGGGGCAGCTCCAGTGCCCCCGCGTCCTGGCGTGAGTGGAGATGGGGCTGGGGAGGCTCCTCAGAGTAGAGCTGAGTCCGGCCGTGGCCCCGTCACCGTTGCCGCCGCCGATGTTTATCCACCCCGGGTTCGTGTTTACTTTTTTGCAAGAGCCGGGCGGCCTCGAGCGGTGCTGGGTGGGTGACCGGCTACCGCCCCTGCCCAGCCAGCAGCCACCCGCAAGGTGGATGCCGGGACCCCCGGCGCACCCCATACCCAGGGCAGATCTCCAGGCCGGTGGCTCGGTGGTGGGGCCGGTAGCGCGAGGTGATGCCAGTGGCGGGGCCAGGCAGGGGCAGCCCCCCCAGCTGCCGGTGATTGAGCAAGAGGCTGGGCTCAGGCGAGGACCCGGCCGTGCCGCCGGGGCCAGACCGCGGCCTGTGTTTGGTTTTGGTCCCGGCTGCCCAGCCCCGAGCTGCTGCCTGACGCCTCCGCACAGACGGGGCTGGCGGCGCGCGGCACGACCCGAGAGCAGGGACCCGGCAGGCAGCTGAGCGCCGGG